ATACAAAAGTTAATATTGCTTTGATTAGATTATATACTCATCAGGTATGCTACGGAATAGCGCTAAACAAAGTTAAGCAAAAAAATCTATTTTGATTACTGAAGTTTGGTTTAGAGAGAGTTACACAGGAAGGCATCATTTTATTATTACTGAAAATGGTATTTGTGATCTTCTTTCTCTTTTTTACTGAGAGATAGCCGAAGGCAAAGCTTAACTAATCTATATGAGATCACAAATGCTACTTCTTTTGTAGTATGAATCTCACTTGTAGGTATTTCAAAATATCAAATAATGAAGGTGATACTTGATCGAGAATTGAAGACAAACAAATTCAAGAAAAACGGAGGGGCGTCTAAAATGGTTCATATTTTCCGAACATATAACAGAAGCCTGAACCTTTGTACAACACACTCCTAATGCGTTTTGCCAAAGCATAAAAGTACTTCCTGTATTTGCAAAGGGAGTGAGTAACTTTGAAGTGTCTTTGATGCATACTTATTTACTTTATGTTGTTAAGAAGTACAAAGGACGTTGAACTGTCGAGACGCTTATTGGAGTTAGAGATACTAAAAAAAAACGACATGAAAAGTCATACTCACGCACCGAGAGTTCCGTACAAACAATAATAACCTTTCATTTTATAGCTCACACGATATAGTTCGTAAAGTTTTTTTTTTCTTCAATTATTTAGGTTCTTTTCAAATACATACCAGTTATAGAGACACTAGTTACTATTGATCGAAATAATAGTTTTTTAAGGGAGAGGATTTTAATATATTCGCCTATATTCAACGTTTTATACGTATATTTATTTTTTATAAATTAAAAAAGACCGATTTTCAATTTCTTTTTAATACTCCTGAAGAGGTTTAAAAATGTTATAGCAGTTTTGTTTTTATATCAAAACATGTAAACTTATACATAAAAATTGTCAGTATTCACTAATTGTATTTATTTACATAACATAATAACTATACCTTTGTAGTCAACATAACGAGTTACATTTCTATGACTTTTAGAGTGTTCTATTCGTTAGAACGGACAAACACGCGAGAGTTTACGTATTTTCGTTTAAGATAGGGTATCCTAAAGCTTAGTGCATATCCAGTTATGCCGGTTAAATCGTGAATATAAATGCCAGCGCTTATTTAATATTTAAACAACTCTTATAATCAGTATGTATTTTAAATCGCATTACGAGAGGTTCCATGATGGGTACTCAATTTTATTGCATACCATAATGTACCTCAAATGTACTTATGCCTTTTTCAAAGCTACATTTGCAATACTATAAAATAAACATATTTTCATTGCTCACTTTACTCAGTTTTATTGGGCGTGGTTTTGAAAAATTCTATAAAAGTAATTTTATTTAAGAATATAAAAATAGTTGTCGATAAAATTATAAAATTGTTTTCTAACTATTTCTCTTGCTTTGCCTCAAATTATAACTATTTTTTTTCATCCATATCGTAATATTTGATAGTGCGAGTTAACTTTTTATTGGATTTTATACAATTAATGACGAGCAAAACTTCGAAGTTAATAATGTAAAAAATTAAAGACATATGTATACTAGATGTGTTCACAATGTTAAGTAATTTTCTAATTTTTATCATATTTCTAACATCGCAAATAATATAAAATTATGATTTATATTCTTTTTATGAAAATTTGCATTTCATTACGTTCATTAAGCAAGAATTTTTAATTAAGCAAAAATTAAATTAGTTTAAAAAAAAAGGACATTTTCGACAACCGCGCCTTAATACACTACTTATTAATTAAGTATGAAGTTTCCCATTGTAACGAAAAGTAATAATTTTTAATCAGAATCCTCTGTACATAATTTTAATTATAGTTCTTTGTATGTATTTGTAAATGAAAAAGGGTGATAAAAGCAGACTTTGTTGAGTTTCTTGTCGATTTTTCTGCCTATGAATTTTGAAATTAATTAATTGTTGAGTAACGCTTATAATTGCGAAAACGAATCGAGATAATTGGCTTTTATCTCATAAATAAGGTTTCAGATAAATCTATAGAGAAGTAAATCGCACGACGAATGTCTTAGTGAATCCTTTATCTTAGAAACGAGTTTTCAAATCAAGTTAAATTAATCGTTAGTTGAAAATAAATCAAGGGTGAAGTAGTCAAAATTTAATATTGACGACGTCATACAATATTCACAGTCAAAGAAAAAAAATATATCGAGGATTCAAAGTAATATTCGTACCAAATGGATTTCTATAAACATGGTCCCTGTATTATTTATGAGGCCGTTAATAATGTGATATTAATTTTTATTCCGAACAATGCCATAAACTTTGTGGTGGGTATTGTACAAATTTATGCTTCAATGTTTTTTTGAGGTTACATAAGAAACTGGATCTGTTGCAGATTCCGAACGTCTTGTGTTGTTCCAATATCGATAGCTTATCGATAATATCTTGAAACTATTGTGGCTTGAAATCGATCGATCGAACTCTTGAAACTATTACTGTTAATCGGTGATTAAAACAAATAAATAATATTATTTCTAAAGATTACTTGACATTTCGATATTTTTAAAACATTTGTGATGCTGATGATAAAATAATGACGATGGCGATGCTAGTTTTGTTAAAAAATTACAGGATTGAGCTAATTTAGTAACTACCAAGATAAAAAGCAATGATAAATAGAAAAGCAACCAAAGCAATAGAAAAGCTTTCACGCAGTAATTCAATGTCTCTATTATTATTTAGATTTTTTTTACTTATTTAATCTTTATTGCACACAGATTTATGTTAGTTTATGTAAAAAGCCGATGTTTTCGATAGTCTTATCATCTCGTTCCGATTTGAATTTAGAATTATTCTTTTTGACTGGAAATATCGATAAAACATTGTTGGCAACTACAACAATTCGGAGTACGGTTTTTTCGTTTCATTAAGTTTACTTTTTTTTAAACGTTTATGAATATAAACACGACAGTGAGCCATACATACATATAGGTATATCGTTTAGGTATGAGTGAGTGTGTTATGTATCTTTTTAAGAACAATGTTTTAATTTCATTTCTTTTTAGATTACTTCGCTTACTGAATAGTGCAGTGGCACAACTCAAAAACCATAATTTTGAGAAACGCTCTCCGAAGTTATGAAAATCTAATATATTTATAATTATGAAAATCAATTTTTTTAGCATAATCGTTTGTATTATATTATTACCGTTAAATTTTCTATATTTTCTTTAAATTATCTATGGAATGCCATCACAATAATATGGCGTTATCTCGAAATAATGGTTTTTGAGTTGTGTCACTGTACTATTCAGTGAGCGACTTATCCTCAATTGATATACTGTTACGTTATGAATTTTTAATCGGCATTTTAGGAGAAACGTAAAATACTAGTTTTAAATATTAGTTGGAAATAAGTAGAAAATACATATTTTTCCATGAATAAACGACTCTTCTATATCAAAATATATTATTCATCTATAAAGGTAAATTCAAGAAATATTTTTTTTTCGGCGATCAGTTAATTCTATAATAAAATTACTTAAAACTGAAGTACGTGTTATAAATTCTCAATCCGGTTTCAAAAGAAAATTTCTTGTATTTGTAATACCTGTCGTCTTATTTCTTTTGATTTATTAATTATATAGTGCAGAATCGTCACATTTATCACTATTTGCTGTGCACAGTTTTTATATTAATTAGACCAATTTTTATTCAAATACGCGTAAACATTATTTCTTTGGATTACCTACAGCTATTCCACACACGTCATTACAGATTCATTATCCATTAGTCTATGCGCGCACTAGTAATTTGTTTGTCATCGTAATTGTTTATGTCGTTCATTCGTTCTTTCTATGGAAGTTAACAGTAGATTCATTCAGTTAAAGTTTACCTAATAATTGCATCTCAATGGAATCAAATATTACCATTGTGATATCTACCTGAAGTCCAGTATTATTAGTGCAATGTATATATATATATATATACAACGTATATTATACATATTAGCTGAATTGTCCTGCTTATTGTCGCATAGTTGCAAATATCATTTTGCTCGGGTCGATAGTGTGAAATCTTATGAGCAAACTCAAGAATAGTGTCATTTGGGTGTAGACAAAGCGATCTCTTGTATGTATTGCTACGCGTGAGGTGACTTTAAGTCTTTAAAAAAAATCCGAATCATAAAAAAAATTAAAAATAAAATGAAATAGGGAAAAAAGGTATTTTGAAATCTGTTATAAAACAAAATCATTAGAATAATAAATACATATTAAAAACAATGTCGTCATAAATGAAAATAAAAATATATATTCCTTGATAATCAATAAAACGTTCTTATAGCTATTGCTTTGGCTTTAGCTTTAAGTGAGGTGATCGACCCCCAGGACATGCTCTACATGTACTAGATTTCATTTAAATGAATCCCACGTTTTGACGAGAAAGTCTTCCTTTCAACCAATAAACGAAAACATGTTTACATATTGTAAGAATTCATTAAGTAAAGGTGGGATACATGTACATTATAGCGAATTTGGAATTAACCTACTTTTTTTAAAATTATTATAAAAAAAGTATACACATTGAAAGTAAAATCACAAAATTTATTTTACATACATGTAAATTGGATTTTTTTTTATTGACTCAGCCAGGAATCAACACCGAACCTCAGAGATAGCGTTAAATATGAAATCGGTGTGAAAGTTAGTTGACCGTTTGTAGTCTATAATAGGACCTGAACCTATAAGGATTCCGATCTCACAGAAAAGTTGTCACCAGGCAAACATACACGAAAATATTATGCAAACAAAAATTTATACATTAATATGTTGTACATAATATTTTTTTTTTACGTTAATTAATATTAGCAGTAATATGCTTAGATCCTTCATTTAAGTCCAAAACCATAATTATTTACCTATTGACTTTCATATCTCAACAACTTGGCCAGTCAAAACAAATACTCTCACTTAACTTATAAATAGATTAACAACTTACCGACTATTGACATGAGTATCTGGTTGTGTTTGCTTCCCGTCTTATTATCCGTAGAAGAATTTACTTTATACACTTTATTCACCATCTTGAATGTTTTATTAAAATTATTTCACTGAGTTAATTTCTTAACAAGAAATCTCCGCACTATCTCTTCTAAATATCACCAGTCCTTTTCTTTTTTTAAACGTTTCATGTACAGATTAAAGTTACATAAAAACTATTTTCAATTTAAAATTCTAATAAAAAAACAAAACAATCGTATCGCGTTTGATAACGAAAAAGTTTTTAATCACCACCTTATATAAAAAAAATGAAACGCGCGTTTTATTAAAACCTAATTAAAATTTTAAATAGGAATACTAAAAGAGCGCGAAAATAAAATATGACAGAAGAAAATCACACGCAAACGAGCGCGGCGAATATAGTTGATAACAAGACGCGTCCGCCTGATTGTCTTCTCTTATGCGTATGCGCCTCTAAGATGCTTCAGCACTTCTCTTTATATTGGCTTGGAACTGTCATGTAACTGTCATTACGGATCGGGGGATGAACTTAATGAAACAACAGTGATACTGTTATCACAAATATGACATCAATCACAAAGTTTATATTGCGATTTAAAAGGTACTTATTATTATTTTGATGTCAATTAGTTAGATATCTGCCTGCTCACTGTTGATCGATTGTATGTTTGTATGTATATTTTTTAAACACTAGCACGTCAATTGTTAGGAAAAAGTGTCTTATCTAAGTAGAAATCTTTCAGAAAGTAGTTTATAAATAGATTTTTCAATACATTATTTGTTTAAGTATTAAATCAGGCTTATAAATACATATTAGAGATATCATTGCCCAGATCTAAGATTAGTAGCTGAAGTCTAAATAATCCATACTGATCAGAGGATAGGTTAATTTCCCTACATTGACCTCTCTTCGGTCGAAACGTACCTGAGACACCAAAGATTGTGTAATTTTGAAATTGGCTTGCGAGATACTCGGCATCCCAGGTCTTACAATTAATAAAATATATTATATCAGGATCAGCCCAGATATCGTCGTATTCAGTACAGCGCCGAGCGCAGAGTTGAACACAACGACATCGCATCTTATTAGACATTTAATAAAATGAAACCTTTATTACCCCTCGAAGTTTTTTTATTTGACTGCACCTCTAATACTGCGGTTGTATTTTTAATAATAAGCACAGCTATAGTTATTGAGTTTATTCTTTACAAAACAAAAAAAAAAACATTCAAATTTTCTGTTGCGATTTTAGATTATGATAATTAATATTACGTAAGGCTTTAAGTTATGGGTAATTGAAATTTAAGAGTGAAAATACTTATTGTTTTACCTTCAATACTAACATTTAATTGGTGGAACCTGCATGCATGTTCTGAATTCTGCTGGTAAAAGCTAGTAAAGCAAAAAATTCGTCTTTCTTATAAACTTCTACTATTGACCAACTTGTGTTGGTAAATTCCAAGATTTATTAATATAACCTTAGGTTTGCCAACATTCGGGCTTTTGGAGTAACATATTTAAAAAACCTACACAATTTTAGGGTTTTCAGCAAAACATTCAGGATAAATAAGAATTGCAATTATATTGTTTTCCGGATTTTTTTTCATCACACTCCAACGACATTATATAAAACTACAAACGCAACGTGAATAGCTCGGTGGCGTACTGGATAAGCGTCTTGGCCTACGATCGTTGTTCTTAAATAACTTTCGCAAAGGTCGGTCACGGGATGGGTGACCAAAAAAATATTATCTCCAGCTATGCCATGCTTCAGAAGGTACGTTAAGCCATTGGTCCTGACTGCATTTTCAGTTGTTAATATCCTGCAATTCGCGTTGTGCCAGCGTCGAGGGTCATGGACCATCCTCCTTAAGCAGCCCTAAGGAAGGCCTGAACCCCTGCTATAGGCTGATGATATAAAAGGGGACGGTGACGATGGAAACCTCATTTTTATCATCTGGCACTGTTTCTGAACCTCAGATAATGCGCACAATAATAATTTTAATTGTAAAAATTTTGAACAAAAATAATAAAAAAACAAATTTTCGTACTATGGGAAAACCTTCTGAAATATTTTTAATAAATTAAGGATAATATTAATGAAGGAAACTCACTTTGATGTTGACTCTCGTGGTAAGCCTAATGATCTTTTGACATTAGGGCAAACCTCAAATCTACTAATTGGCATATTCATTGATGAAATATGTTTTGATTTAATGAATCAAAAGATCTATTGCGCCGAACCAGGATTCAAACGGTAATGCCATTTTTTAGCGATACGTGTGTAGACAAGCTTTTTAATTTAATTTTATACATCAAAAAAAATATTTAAAAATGACGTCATATTACGTCACAGCACTCTGAAACTCCAGGTCCTGCAGGGTGACTATTTAAGTTGACTTATCGCCAAGCAATAAAATCAAGTAATATAATAATACTGTCTCGGAGCATTTTAAAAATTATAATACCTATGTAAAACTGACAACCGGCAATGAAGTAATTGATAGATATTACATAATATTATATTATTAATGCGAAACATGGTAATTATAAAAAAATGTACATACATTTTCCTGTGTTGTTGATATTATATAATATTATTAATGTATTAAATTATAATAAATAAATAAACATTAGACAATGTTAAATACGTTGCTGTTGCTCAGTTCCCAAGTAAAGTAGTTACTACAACACCCAGATCCGCTAGAATAAGTTAATTTTCTTCTTTAACCCAAATGAGATCCATCTCAGGACCTTGTGACAGAGATTATGACATTTTGAAACCGGCGGCGCGCCACTTAGCTACGAATGTTCTCGATGGAAATTTTAATTCTAAAAAAAAATACATTAGAAATCCACTTTGTCCCATGACCCAAAGGTCATGAGTTCGGGTCCCATGTCGGATTGCCAAGGACAAAGTGGATTTTTTAACATTTTTCATTATGAATATTTTACAGTATAACATTGTGAATGGAAAATTGATCAAATATAATAATATGTATGACATCAAATTTTATATCAGCGCCATCTTTTGGCACTGAAAAGGAGCATTAACAAAGTTGAGAATTTGCGTTTGATAATAAGAAATTAACATATCTGACAAGTCGTGCTTGCTTTCTTAAAAAATATATATATATGCTAAATTTAGAACATCTTAGTTTTTCTTTTAAAGAAAATTTACTGATAATTTTCCTGTTACAAACTGCCTCATGGAAAGCTAAAGGATTACGTAATAAATACCAAGTATGCGAATTTTTCCTCGTTAAACTCATGTGTGTCTATTGGAGAGATTGGAATTCCGACCGTGTTAGTTCTATTTAAGGCATAACCTTTTTATAAGCTGGATGATTCCCGAGAAAGTATTCTTGGGTCAGATCCATAGTATCATTTCGTTTCACTACAGGCAAATTATTTGAAATTAAATCTAGAGGTATAACGTCAATAGATAGATTCGTATTTATTTAGGTACTTAGGAAAAAGGGGTCATTGTCCGACTCAAGGATATCTACTTTTCTCTTATTTAGTACCACGAATATGTCGCTACGAATTCTTTTCTACAAACTCGCGCTCTAAGTTGGGAAAAGTGTACTATTTTCCTTAAAACTTTCCGATTTATTCTCTCTATAAGAATCATCAATAAATATATTAAAGAAAGAAATAGTTGATTTGGTGCAACCGTTCTCAAGTTTTGTAAAACGGGACCCTATTATTAAGAATCAGCTGTCTGTTCATCTGTCCGTCTATCATCAGGTTGTAAGGTCTATCTCATGAACCTTCTATCAAGTTAAGACAGTTGAAATTTATATAGTTACCCTCGGCACACTACCTCCGCTCTCTTTACATATTTCGATAATTTTGGTTGTCTGGAATGGAATGATGTGTGCAATAAAGTGTTAAATAATAAATAATTATATTTCTACCGCCGCAATGACAACAAATAAATATTTAAGGGGAACAAACAAACACGGAACCGAATCCAACTTACACATGGCCAAAGATTAGAAGATTTTATTTAGTTACATTGTGTGCGTATAAAGTTTTGTAACTTAAAATTTGACCCATTTTGCATGCACATTTAACTTGAATGGCTTTTTTTATTATTTATTTACAATGGGCTCATTCTTGACCTCAATCTAGCCTAAGGACATAGATGAGTACTAAGGTGGGACGAGCTTGCCCAGAAAGAACGTATTCTCTCGTGCCTTAAATAGGTCTTAATAATGCAATAATAGTATGGAATGTCTGTAAAAAATACTCAAACTCGTTGTTAACGCTGCGCAGCATCGAGAGTTAAGCAAACTTTACTTTACGTTACTTCGAAATGTTATATCTCTCTTTTTTCTTCAGAATTACATCATTGAAGTTCCTTCGAAGACGAGTTTTAGACTGCTAATGGATGGCATAGTTTTTGACATACAAAACTGCTTGTAACAGCCTAGACTAAATAAATTACAATGAATTAAAACATTCATACTATCAATATAAAGCATATAATTATTTTTCTGTTTTCTTCATTATACGTTGTAAATATCATATTTACTCAAAGTGGATAATCAATGGTTCTACCAAAGCTGACTCACAATTATTTTATTTAGATTATCTTAAGAGTATTAAAGAGTGTTCTCGATATACTTATTAGGTCATTATCGTATTGGAATATTGATTTATCGTTTAGTATATTGCTGAAAATGATGTCACAGCTCGTTGGTTCGAAGCATGGTTCGGAGTTAAGATAGAAAGAAAACTTTTGTTGTTTAATTTATTAAAATAATAACTTCGCGACATTTAATAAATAATCTAAGTTACTACCATATCAGGGGGCCAATTCCACTAAATAAATTTTGTTTAAATCGAAACGAAAACGGATCGAAACCGAACGAAACTACAGTTTTTAATGGTTTTCCTATTCTACGACATACGATACAATTCCAGTTCTATTTTAGCTGGATAATCGATTCGATTTAAACAAAATTTATTTAGTAGAATTAGCCGCCAGTACTAGCTGTTTTACTACGACTTCGCACAATATAGCATATGTCACCCGTGTATGTTGTAGTTACCCATAGGTTTAGAATCAGTCCAGTAGTTTCAATGAATGCCAACAATATAATATTTCATCTTCATAATATCAGTGTGAATATGAAACATATATCGATATTGGTCATTGATGTCATGACTTCAATATAATTGTGTTAATGAAAAATTCGTGATTTCATCAAACAGTTACTTGATAGACAAACATTTATAGAAAAACCAAGATACCGACGGCGGCAATATCAAACATCGCTGATGCTTTGTTTACTCTTAATTTACATTATATCATAACATGTAAAAAAAAGTCTTTATATATTTAATACAGTCTGATGTCTATTATGTACACAAATCAATAAAAGAATATCGATTTATACAGAACTGGGGTGCTACCGCTTAACTCTACCTCTCTCTGCC